GTGAATTTGAGACCAGCCTTGTCTGCATATGGAGAGATTTCTAGGACAATAAAAGCTAAAAAAGAGAGACCCTGTCTAAGATAGATAGATAAATAGATAGATAGATAGATGACAGATGGATGATAGATATACATAGATAATATATAGACAGATGATAGACGATTGTTAGATGATAGATAGATAAAGATATAGATAGATGATAGGTAGATATAGATATATTTAGACATAGATAATAGATGATAAATATATAGATAGGTAGGTATAGATAGATATAGATATAGATGATTAGTAGATAGATAAAGATATAGATTGATGATAAGTAGATAGGTAGATCGATATAGATATATAGACATAGACAGATAATAGATAGATAGATGGATAGATAGATAAACAGATAGATAGATAGATGATAGGTAGGTAGGTAGGTAGATAGATAGATAGATAGATAGATAGATAGATAGATAGATATCTGGCTGGTGGGGTCAGGGACAGTAGTTTAACCAGATGCTGGTGGTGGCATTCTGTAGATCCCTTAGAGAATGATAAATTTCCTAAGCCAAGGCAAGGGAAGTAGAGCAGTGGGTCTTAAGGCTTCCCACAGCAGAAGCAGCAGCACTGTCTGTGAACTCATTAGAAGTCTCCTTTGAGTTTCAAACCCAAATCTACAGAATCAGACCTACTTATTCTCACTAATTTTATGGAAGTTCAAATTTGATATCATTGAATTATAGGTAGCTTGTTACAGTGCTTAAAACACAAGGGAGCCACTGCTGAGTGGGTGAGAATAAGCAGAAAGGCTTATGTTTTCCTTCTTGAGATAGTCTTGCAATGTTGCCCAGGATGGCCTGCCAAGTGAAGGGTTTTCATGAGAGACCTAGAAATGTGGTAGACACTCTGTTCACCTCTGTGTCTAACACCACTGCCAAAGTCTGTGATCTCTTATCTGCTCTAATACCATGGCTATATAATCAGGGTTACTTCTCTCTCTTGTATCCCATAATCCAGAGTTCCTGGCAGAAATAATGACTTTAACAACCCATTTAACATGATGCCGTCACTCCTCTGCTTAATGCCTTCAGTCATTCCAAGACAAGGCAGAAAGTGCCAAGCTATCTCTGTGGCTGACAAGCCCCTGCATGAACTGTCTCTGTCCCTTTCACCTCACATTTGACCTTGCACTTTTGCTTTGGCTTGTCACTGATTCTAGCAGGGGCCCGCCTTTGCTCTTTCTACCAGGACCATGCTCCCCTCATCCCCACTTGTACCATGAGCCCCTTCCTGATACGTGAATATGTCACCTCTGCAGAGAAGCTTAGGTGACACTCTAGTACCAGACAAACCAATTAGTGCTCCCCTAGTTACCTAGGTGCTTATCTGCTAGTTCCAAGGTTACTCTGTTTATCCAACAAATGGATCTTAGCACCCCACAGAACCTGAGGAGGTAACCTGAGACAAAATGAAGTATCTTAAAAACATAAAATCGCACCCCCTTCCCTCCTTCATTCTCTAGGGTTCCAGACCTGATCCTCATTGATCTTTCTTTTGACCACTCTCATACCTGGTCACCTTTTTAATCCATCATGAATGGGAAGGATATTTTTTGCTCATTGCATCATCTCTGTAGCTCTTGGCTGCTCTTTCAGTTTGCTGGTCCTCCTTGCTCCAATGTCTTACAGAGTGTGGGTGGCTTAATAATCCTTCAACCCCACTTAATAATCCTTAAACCCCACTTAATCTTACTTAGCTTTTTAAAGAATAGGAATTCACATCCTCTCCCCCATAGGTCACCACAAAACATTCCTTAAGTACTGAAGGACTGCAGATAGTACACTCAGGCCTTCGATGTGTTGTGTCTAGGGTCTCCCATTGTCACCAGAAGATCAGATACTTCTTAGAAGTCACAGAGTTAACTCAAGGACCCTCTCTCTCTTTCCTAGACTGAAGTTTACAACTTTTAGAGCTTATCCATATTGACCTATTCATTAAGAAAACACCCGCTATCCTTAACAATTATGGGAAGGCAAATCAAATAACTTTGAGATTTCATCTGATCCCAGTCAGGACACCAAAGACCAACGGAAAAACTGGCACAAATAGGGGGAAGACGTAGGGAAAGAAGAACCCTCGTCCACTCCTGGTGGGATTGCAGCCACTCTGAAAATCAGTGTGGAGAATCCTCAAAAAACATATAAATCCACCATATGATCCAGCTATACTTCTTAGTGAATGGTCAAGGAACTGACATCCTACTCCACAAACACTTGTTCACCTATGTTCATTGCTACTCCAGTCACAATAGCTGAGAAATGGGAACAACCTAGATGTCCTTGGCTGACAACTGGAGAATGATAATGTGGTCCATATTCACTATGGAATACTCTGGTGCTGATGAACCACAGAAATGACCAGCATGGCATGATAACCCTTAGGGTGTAGTAGTAGCATGTATACTTCGGTAGCTCTGTCTTTAGGATGCAGTTAGTGATTATGCTGGTCTAGTAAGGTGATGGCTGTATGGCCTCCTCAAGTGATGTTTATGGAATAGGACTGAATTGGAGCACACCAGAAAGAACCTTAAAGTAAGTGGCATTCTATAAAAGCCCTGAGGACAATTTGAAGCAAATTTAGGGGGAAACTGTAGTGATGGTGGATGTTTGTCACTTTAAGGTCTTTTATTAAAGAGGAGAGGGGCAGGCAAAGAAACCTACACTGAGTGGGACTGACTTGGAACACACATGCTGAGCGCTGCCAGAATTTTTACCAGGTCTTGTTCTTTGGAACCCCTGTAGCTGTATAACCAGACACTTCCATACCAGGCAGAAAATCAGGAAATCCCCTTTCCAGGGCTTGTCTGACTTCAGGGCATATATCGTTCTCTAAGTCAGTCTTTGTAACAGACTGTGGTTCAGTGGGCTGGAGGGAAGCCTGGAATTTTCCCATAAAGCTCTACGCAATGCTGATGGCCGAAGGTTTCCCTCTTCAGTTTTCAGAGGAGAACCTGAGACTCTGAGGTGGATCGTGTCTTGCCTGTGCTCCGACAAGTTCTGCTTTTAGTCACACGTTCTGCTCTCACCCCACCCAGACATTCCATTAAGTCTGTAGAAACCCCAGCACCACACACCAGCCCCTGAGTGGAGATGGCAGAGGGTGTGCCAAGAGCTTAACTGGTGCCAAGGGCAAAGTAGGACAGAGACTGGGAGGTTGGAGGAGACGGGGACCAACAACGTCACAATAAGGTCACATATAGCAGCTGTATTTAAATCAAGCGAGTCAATGGGATTAGCACTAATTTTCACACGTTTTGCTATGGTTTTAAAGGTAGTGACAAACGGGTTTGATTTCAGGGAGGTATTTTTAGGCAAATGGCCCTTTCAGCAGCCATCCTACAGTGCAGTGGCTGCTCTGGGTCCTCCTGTGGCCGGCACTCAAAATGACAATTGATTTCTGACCTCGAGCCTCAGTGAAAGTGGGAAGGATAAAAGGCAAAGATCAAACTTACTCCTTAACTCCTAACCACTCGCCAACCAGTCACATAGTGATCCCTTGTTCACCCAGTTCCCTGTCATGGAGACATTTCACTCAAGAGAAAGAAAATGTGTAAAGTTAACCATTCAATTCGTCTCTCTGCCCCTTGAAGTTTTAACTCACCTAGGTATCTATGGGTAAATTCCACATAAGGTCCACGATTTTCTGGACTGTATTTCCAACAACTTCACCACACACTAAAATATGAGCTTCCCCAGATCCTGTCAGCTTTGCAATTGACAACCTTCATCTCTAGAAGTCACTCTAAAGTATTTTACTTATTAGCATTTAATTCTCATAGTCAATCCTTAACTGCGGGGGGTGGGGGGGGAGGGAGAACCGGTAGGTTCTTCTCTTGAAGACTTCTAAACTATCATACCCAAGTCTCATGAGGACAGCAGGCAGCCCAATATACACTTCTGCCTCGGTGCCATGGAAATCCTGGCAAAATTAAATGCTTTTAAACAAGGCCACAGTGAGACTGGTTGTCCTAAGCAAATAGGTACGATCCTAACATAGACTGCTGTACAGACTTGGGGGTACAGTGGAAGTTACAGACGGTGACAAAATGGAGCCAGGAGTTAGGTCGCTTTCGATCTCTTTTGACTCAGCAGTAGCAGCTTGAACCCAAACACCCCAGATCCCTTTCTGCTCAGGCCACTTCCCAGGCTGTCCTCAGCTGAACTCTGAACTGAAGAAATATAAGAAAATAAACAGGGCCCCCTTGCTGCTGCCAACATTTTTCACGCACACAACGGTATACAGTTATTTCAGGAGCTAGGAGTAGTTTATCTGCCTTCCTAGCTTTTAAGAACCTGGATGGCTCTCATCACCTTACTTCTGCTGTTCTGAGTGCACATTCAAGTCAGTCACTGCTTTGAGTTCAGGCACATAAGTCTGTGTGGGATTTTCAGCTTGCAGAACACTGTCACTTTCATGGCTGCGTTTTGGATTCAAGAGACGCAGGCAGGTGAGAGCAGCGTTTAAGCAGCTTTGTTAGGCAAAACCACGGGGTTTCAGCTGGCAGGCAGAGTATGAGTAGCGCGAGCAGTGGAATGCAGCTGCAGCCCGTTAGCGCGCAGTGCGCCACAGTTGGTGAAATTTAAGCCTTATGGCGATGATTTGCAGTTAGAGCAGCAAAGATGGTTGGAGAAAATGTTGCAGCATTTGAACTAACTCTGGGTCTCCACTTCTTTCCTTACCACAAACTGCCCTCCCCTCTTGCCTCTCTGTAACTAAGAAAACACTGAACTGTCTGGTTGGTTACGGAAGAGCCAGCCTAAGCCCGCAGAGAGCTGCTGACAATGCAAGCTGCTGTAGGATTTTGAATTCAAAACAGTTTACACATTTGGCTGAGGATTTCTAGTACCAACCTTTCCCCCATCACCCACACGTACCGAAGTTTGTTTAACAACCCATCTCCAGGGCGCAAAAGAACGATCTGGGACGCACCTGCCCACGTTTGAAAATCTTACCGAAGTGGTCCAAGCTGGCTCAGCATCTGCAGCTACTTGCTTACTTAGATGGTGAGCAAGGAGGTCTCAAGGAGGTGGCTGCCGACGCCTCTGCTGCTGCAGAGGTCCCGAGTTCTGCTGCAAAGGCCAACGAAAGGGAGAAAACGTCAACTGACATAGTTCAAGTGTTTCAAAGTTAAAAATAAAACTATATCACAAGGGCAATGTGACCAGGCTCAGCTTACGACTTCCTTCGCCTGTAGGTTATCAACACTCGGGGTCTAAGTGCTAGAGGGGCAGAGCCCAGGGGAAGTGGATCTTTGTACCAATGGCTTTTCTTTCACCAGAGCAAGGAGGAAAGCCTTCGGAAGAAGAGCCAGTGCAAGTCCCACACAGCCACAATCCTGTGTGTGCCATGGGCAGGTCCAGCTGTGCTGGGGGTTGGGGTGGGGGTGGGGTGGAGTGGGGAGCAGCCAGGCTCCTACTCTAATTATAACCCTGCTTTTCACCCAAGTCCCTCACTGGCTGAAGCAGCAACTTGTAGTTTGTTTGTTTGTTTTTGTCTTTAGCTCTTTGGTTCTTTTGGGGGGCCTGCCACCCTGCTCCCAGACAAATTATACGAGTCTTATTCTTTCTTGTGAATGTCTGGCCTTAGCTTGGCTTATTTCCAGCCAGCTTTTCTTAACTTAAATCATCCCATCTATCTTTTGCCTCCGGGCTTTTATCTTTCTCTATTTATGTGTATCTTTCTTTACTCCTTATTCTGTGGCTTGCTGTGTAGCTTGGTGGCTTCCCCCTGGGGTTCTCCTTCTTCTCTCATTCCTTGATTTCTCCTCCCAGATTTCTCCTCCTATTTATTCTCTCTGCCTGCCAGCCCCATCTATCCCTCTCCTGCCCAGCTATTGGCTGTTCACCTGTTTATTAGACCAATCAGGTGTTTTAGACAGGCAAAGTAACACAGCTTCGTAGAGTTAAACAAATGCAACATTAAAGAACGTAATACATCTTTGCATCGTTAAACAAATGTTCCACAGCATAAAAGGATGTAACACATCTTAAAATAATATTCCCAAGAGCAGCTGGTGTGAATGACATGCTGTCATGCTCCTGTTCCCCTTTCTTCTCATGACAACTCAGCATCTGTCCCCCTCTGGCCTTTGTCTTTCCTGGGGGCTGGGAGAAGGGAGAGTTTGTCAAGAGAAACCTAGCAGGGAGTTAAGTCCAAGGGAGAACATTAGAGGTGGTAGGAGGCTTGGCTATCATTTCCTATATTTCCCTCTTGTTACAGATAAGAAGATGCAGGATCAGGCAAGATAAACTACTCATCCATAATCACAAGGCTCAGAGCCAGAAGAAAGACTTCTGATAGCCTGGTATTCTTTATCTTAGCCACTTCAAAACTGTTCTTTCCACCTCCTGTGCTAGGTTGAACAGGAGTAGCAACAGAGACCCCTGGTTTGTCCTGGACACCTGGCTCTTTCATTGGCAAGTCACCTGTGGAATTCTTCACAGACAAATGCAAGCTGCCTGGGCATCTTTCAGACAGCTTTTGGCAGGTTGGACGTGGTGGTGGGGGTTGGTGGTAAGGGGAATCAGATTGGTAGTTTTTCCAGTCCAGAGAATGTTCTCGTTATAAAGGCTGTGAGCTTTTACCAGATGACTTTTCTGTACCTCTTCTATTAAATTTATCGGTGTTTGAATTTTGAACCAAACTTTATTTTTGGGTTTAGTACATAGCTCTTTCTCCATTGCCCTACAGCTGTGATGAAACACCGTGACCAAAAGCAAGTTTGGGAGGAAAGGGTTTATTTGGCTTACACTTCCACATCATAGTCCTTTCCTTTACTAAAGGAAGTCAGGACAGGAATCCAAACAGGGCTGGAACCTGGAGGCAGGAACTGATGCAGAGGCCATGGAGGGGTGCTGCTTACTGGCTCATTATGACTTAGTCAGCCTAGTTTCTTAGAGTACCCAGGACCACTAGCCCAGGGATGGCACCACACACAACTGGGCCCTCCAAAATCAATCACGAATTAAGAAAATGCCCTACAGGCTTGCCTACAGCCCTGTCTTCTGGAGGTATTTTTTCAACTGAATCTTCCTCCTCTCAGATGACTTCAGCTTGTGTCATGTTGACATAAAACTAGCCAGCACATCTGTGTTTCTGGCTTTGATTTGTTAATATTTTACTGAGGACTTTTGCACCTAGCCTGTAACATTTTTGGGGTTGCCTTTGCTTGGTGTTATATCGGGGCAATACTGATATCAGAGAGCAAGTTAGGAAGTGTTCCTGTGTATTCTTTGGGGTTTTCTAGAGTAACAGAATTTATAGAATGGCTTGATCTGTTTATATGTCTGTCTTTCTACACACACACACACACACACACACACACACACACACACGGGATTTATTAGATAATTTACAGGCTGTGATCCAGCTAATCCAACAATGGATGCCTATGTACAGAAGACCCAGGAGTCCAGTACTTATTCAGTACTGAAAACTGGATGTCTCAGTTGGTCTTCAGTATGCACCAAAGTCCTGAAGAAGTAGACTCTAATGACAGTGATGGAATGAACCTTGTTTTGAGGGTGGGAGGAAACAAGCAAAGGGAGAGAGAGCTTCCTTCTTCCATGTCCTTTGTGTAGTCTCCCAGCAGAAGGTGTAGCTCACATTAGAGGTGGGCCTTCTCACCCACATCTAGGTTAAAGGTATGTCTTCGTACCACAAAGATCCAGACTAGAAGTAGATCTGCCCACTTCAAATGACCCAATTAAGAAAAAAAAAACTCTCACAGTTATTCAGCCATTTTGGTTTTAGTTAATTCCAGATGTAGTTAAGTTGGCAACTAAGAGTAGCCATCACATCTCTCTTCTGGTTTGGGGAGGACATAATAAAGATTTAAACATTTGGTAGGATTTACTGTTGATGCATGCAGGGCTAGACTTTTCCTCTGTGGAAAGCCTTTGTAATCTCTTCACTTGTTTAGCCTTAATTACGATTGCATCAATCTCATTAATTATGTAGCTAAATCTTTTCCACTCATATAAAATTGTTATCTACTTGACCTTTAGTTTTAGAGACTGCTGTGTGACAATTTTGCATTGTGATTCTATATTTGCTCAAGTTTCTCCAAACTTTGATTAACATTTGCCTCACACAGACTGGGTATATGCTATTAACTGTATAATAAGTTCAGAATTGTATCTGTCATGAGTTAATCATCCCTCTTGGCATTTTTTATGCTGCTTGATTTCTATATAATCACAAGTTTCCTCTGAAAGTTTAACTTGACAGATGAGGCGCCATGCTAGCTTCCTCCCTGTGTGCAGGTATTGGACAGGCACTGAG